AAATAAAAACCCCACCTTTCTTAAATAAAAACAAAAACCAAAAAACCAAAAAAAAAAAAAAAAAAAAAAAAATAAAAAAACCACAAAAAAAAAAAAAAAAAAAAAAAAAACTCTAATAAAACTATTACCACGTTTACCTACAAAAAAATATTAATATCAGTTAAAGACAATACAACTTTCACATTAATTTGTTGAATATTGTTCAACAATTTATTATCTTACGTATATCACATTTTCAGCTTACTATTCACATTAGATTTAACTCAAATTTTTTATTTTTTATTTTTTTTACCTTTATTATGAAAAATAAATACCCAATTAAATAGTTTGGTACTTTTCTTTTTTTGAAAGTCTTATAGACTTATGATGCTATTGCACAAACAATAATTCTAGTTATTTCCAATTTTATAAAATTTATAAAAAAATATAAATACTTTTAACTCACGTTCTTGTTTTCTCAAAAAAAAATGTTATCAAACAAGTGAAAATCTAAAATACCTGTACTATCTTCACCATATACTTCTGAAAGACAAGAATCACTGGGCTCCTCCTTATCAGCTTATATTTCTGATCAGAATATACCAAATGAAACACATGTGGGAGGACAAGATTTATCTCCTGTATGGAAATATTTTCAGCATCAAAAAACTAAATCAAATGGATATTATTCAGCAAAGTATAATTATTGCTCAACTAAATGGTCAAGAAGTGAACCAGTAAAGCTCGAAGCTTATCTTGCGCTTGAGTGCTCTTATGTTAAAGAGCATATTCAGCAATTTTATATACTTTATGTAGCCTATTATGATAACTTGAAAGAGCAATCTGAACATTCAAAATGACAAAAATTAAATAATCAGCATAGTCTTACAAAATTTTTTCTACAAAAAACTGGAGGTGGTTTGTCTAAAGGACGAATTAATACTATAAATGTTGTATTATTAAAAGCTTTCGTAGTATGCAGTATTTTATTTTCTGTAATTGAAAACCCATTTTTTATTGACTTGCTTCAAACTTTGTATCTGGAATATCAACTACCATCAAGAGAAGTTTTAGCAAAATGATTATTGGACTAGGAGTACTCTAAAGTTGTAATTAAACATGAGGCTATTTTTTGTGAATCAAATAATCTAACTATTAGTATGCTGTATTTAATTGTTAAATTATATTTTATTACTTTTACTAAATTACTCTATATTCTTTATAGCATTAGATGAATTGATGTCACCTAATGGAAACTCTATATATAGTTTTGTTATTTTAACATCAATGCACAATAAATTTTTATATTTATTATACGATTTTTCTACAAATTCACATACGGCTGAATTTCTTGCAGAGAAAATTGATACTGTTCTGAGTGAAATTGGATATGATAAAATTACAGCAATTGTTACAGACAATGCCAGTAATATGAAGCTTGCTCAACAAATTATTCATGAAAAATACCCAAAAATTTTAAACTTAAACTGTATTGCACATTGTATTAATCTCGTATCTAAAGATATACTTAGTAAGTATTAAAAAAATATGTTTGATTATTATAAAATTTTATAATCTATTCATTAATATATTATTTTTTTAGAGCATATATTTGCTTTACATCTTATTAAAGGGTGCAATGAAATTATAAGATATTTCAAAAAATTATACTAGTTGAATGCATATTTGCAACAAGCAATTCATGAGTTAAATATTTCTGGTGGTGGATTAAGAAAATTTGTAGATACAAGGTGGACTTCGGCATATGAATGTATCTTATCTGTTAGCTAACTTGAATATACACTTATTAAAGTAATATATTATTCTATTAATTAATGTATTTTATATTAATAAGTAACTAAGTATATACTGTATATATATTTTTATATAGATTATGAATGACAACCCAAACTTAATTACAAATCGTACTGTTAAACAAATTTTAAGGCAACCATATTTTTTTCAGATCTTAAAATATTAGTTAAAGTTTTATCTCCAATTCGAACTGCTATTATGAACCTAGAAGCTCAATTGACAACACTAGCAGATTGCTTTATGCAATTTGTTAGTTTAGCAGTTGCCATTAAGAGACTTTCAAGTTTTTGAATTAATAATTTAAAAAATTATTGCATAAATATTTTTAATAAAAGATGGAACAGTTTTAATATAGACATTTATTTGTTGGCATATTTTCTTCACCTGAGTTATCGTGGTATGTTATATTTTTAGAGTTTAATAAATTATATATATTTAGCTAATATAATTTTTTATTTTAGTAGATGCTAGATTACGTGAAAAGCAATTTTATAAAATTGCACAAACTGCAATTCAAATATAGAAATACGAAGAATATGATCTAAATAAATATGCAAATCTTATTGCTTATATGCGATTGTTTAGAGAAAAAAAGGATAGATTTAACTTGCCTTATAGTTTTGAGAAAGATACCCTTTTGTTATGGTAGATGACTAATTATACTGGTTCAAAATCTATTAGAAAACTTGTAATTAAGATTTTTTTAATTACACCACACTTTGCAGACTGTAAAAGAACATTTTCATCATTGGGCTAGATATATGGAAAACAGCGATATCAACTTTCTTTATCACGAATTCAGACAATGGCTCAAATTCAATCTTTTTATGTTTTAAATATAAAAAGAGAACTTGCATTTTTGGTAAAACAGTATTAGCGAATGAATTACAAGAACAAGTAGCATTAGCAACTTTTTTAGTTGAAGAAGATGAATGAATAATTGAGGAACTTGAAGTAGAAGAAGAAGTTGAATATAATTTAGAAATTATTGAACATTTTGATATTGAAAATATAGTATACTTAAATGATGAAATGTTTCATGATAGTGATTCTGACAGTTATAGTGAAGATTTTCAAGGTTATAGTGCTGAAGAATATAGTGATGATGAATTTGACTGTGATGAATTTGTTAGTAACAAAACAAGTCAAGGTATACTTGATTTTGATTCTGCAGAATTAGTGGAAAATTTAGTAAGAGAATGGATGGGTTATAATTGTCGTGAGGATTAATTAAAGTGCATGTTTCTCTAAAATCTTGTCCAAATAGCTTACTTTGTTTAATTACGCACTCACAGCTTTACTATATTCATTTTAGTATTAACACCTTGCCTCTTCACTTAGCAATGACTCCAACCTTCTACCTTAAGGTACTACTGCATTACAAATTAGACTTTTGTAATTTACTTTATGAACAAGTAGAAGTAGAGGTTTGATTTTTAAGATCGAACCCTATATTTATTTAATTATTATATGAGCTTACATCATCGATTTTACTAATAAGCTACAATTAACTCTCAAATAGCCTTATAGTCTTATGTCATATTGCATAACCTTATTACTAATTGTTTCATTAATCCTACTAATTACTAATTTACCCATTTTCACGGTCTCATGAGACCGTATAATCACATGCAACCAATTATTTCTTGTCAATAATTGTAATAAAGTGCAAGTGCAAGTTATTCGATTATCATTATTGATTTTTTTTATATTTATACTTAAAAAAAACTACGTCATATTTACATATTTAACTTTACTATTAATACTGATTTGATATATAAGCTATATTTATCATTGAGGCTAGAACTTTATATAAAGTTTGTCTGATTGATAAATATACGTACATGCACATATATGGATTCATATTATTTCACAGACACTCAACTCACAGACATGCTACTTCACAGACAATTAATTCACAGACAAGCTTATTTTATAGATAACTAATTTCTAGACAAGCTCATTTTGTAGA